CTATATTTGAGTTAAAGTTGACCAATTTTTCTAATGACTAAAAAAAGGAGGGATTCCCCCCCCCCCCCGTTATTTAATGTGTATTTTGTCTTCATTTTTGTTTGTTTCTTAGGATATTGTCATTTTTATCACTCTGTTGCATGCTGCTATCCAGAGTCTATGGATTGGAGCAAGTTACAAAAAGTGAGACAGGCAAGTTGCACATGCTTTGAAAATCATCCAGAAGAAGCAGTTCAGAATGCACAGAAATACAAGTACAGCATCTCTTTAAAACAGCCACACATTTTTTAAGGTTTTTGCATGTAAATTGCAAGAATTGGCACCTTATAAAAATTGTCCAGATTGATGCCCTTCGTATCTACTGAACAATGCATACCAACATGGAACTATGAGAATTGAGTAACACACTTGGGGGGGGGGGCAACAAGCTTGGTAAACTGAGAGGATATAAGCCCCTATTCCCAAAAGAACATCTCACAATTAGCAAAACTGAATGATTTGGCAACACCTTTTTATTCTTATTATATTGCATGCAAAAAGGTAACATGATTTCATTTCTCATTAGTGAAAGGCAAAAGCAAAAGACAGTTGGAGTTGAACTGTTATTTGTTACCATATAGTAAGGAAAAGTTTCAAGAAACAGAAAAATGCTCAAGCAGCCACAGAATAAAAGCCTCATAGCTGAAAAATTCTACGAAGAAAAAAATGTATCTTTGGACAACAGAAGGGGAAAACTTAGTAAGATGCTAAGCTGAAAGGTCATGTCTAATGAGGATTATAAAAAACTTTTTTTTTTGTAATTAAGCTTCTCTGATATTCTGAAAATAAAAAACCAGCTGTTAATCAGAGTACAACCCCAATATACCACATTTTAAAATAGCCAATATATTCAAAGGTCAAAGAACTACGCCTAGACAAGGGGTATAGACATGTGCTCATATTTAAGCCAAAGTATGTCAAGAAGTTACTACTTTGGGTTGGGCACTGCTCAATGGGAATGCCATTACCCACCTACAGTTCCCAACCTGGGGCCCTTCAGATGCCAGCTGTGTGTTCTGAATTTGCAGTCCCAGTACATCCGAAGGGCACCAGGTTGGAAAAAGCTGCCCCACATTTTCACTCCACAAACTGTATTCCTTGCAATGGGGGAAGGGGGGGGGCAGGGAAAAAGAATTTTCCCACACAACTTCCTCCTTCCCACCAGGATTCTAATATAAACAAGTACAGATATAAATGACTTAATTCCTTGAGCATGGAATGAGTGTAATTACATTCCACTGATGAAAACAGAACTCCTGGGGTAGTGGGAAGAAAATGCCATGACATCTAAGGAATTAGAATATCCTTTGCTTGTTCTTATACTGCTACTATTTTAGAACTGCAGCCCCCAAGGATGGGTCTCATGATTAAAGCACAGGAAAACAGCAGACAATTTGGATTCCATTTCCTGCTTTACCACAGGATTGGTTATGAGTTTAGACAACTACTTAGGTTCTCTTCATAACAGATAAAACTTAAAAACACAAACAATACAATTGTTCCCTCACTTTACTTATATATGGATAACTTCTGTTACCTAATTATACCTATTTTCAAAACATGCACTAATAACAAGCCCCTGTCTATTTAAATATACAAAGCCTGTATGAATTAATCTAGAACTCTTTTCCATACTGTATCATGAGCTGATTGGAGAGTTTCTAACCTTTGAGGGTCAGTGGACACATCTGAGGAAGAGGCCCATCAACTGTTGCCATTCACAAAGTAGCTGCCACAGTGGGCACAACCAGGCAGAAAGAAATGATTTCACCAAAAAAGAAGATGGCGAGGCTATATGACAGTAACTTGTCCAAGAATCTGAGAAAACTGAGGTGGGAATCAGAGCCCAACCCCTGAAAATATGATGTGTTAAAAATTTATTTACAAATTTACTCCCATGTCAGGAAAACATCCCCCACTTCATTCCCACACCATTGAAACATTCTCAACCTTTTCCTGATTTCCCCACTGCTACCTGTACAAAGTAGTCCACTAGGATAAAGCCTTTCTTTCTTCTACTTTGGGGCAGAGGAGTTGGTAGCACTAAAATGGAGACTAAAGATGACAAGCAGTTGGAAGCCAAAGCTGAATTTTAAGTGCTGCTAGACACCCATTCCTTTTGTAATTAAATCGCTTAAAAAATTAGTAGGACCTTAGTTTTCTCAGGTGCAGAAGCTATACTTCAAATCATATCATTATATGCCCAATAAATATTTTTAGGCTATATCCCCCATAATTTCCAGCCATGGTGGCTAAAACCAATTGGACATGTTCCAAAATATCTGGAGGGAACTGGGCTGTCTATCCCTACTCTACACAGAAAAGATTCCAGCTTCAATTCCCAGCTTCTTTAGGGTAGCTTAGGAAAGGCTTGTTAGAAATCCTGGAGAATTACTGTCAGTTAGGGAGTGGACAAGACTGAACTAGCTAGACCAATGGCTTCATTGGGTATAAGATAATTTCCTATGTTTCTATAATTCTTATGCTAATTAGAGTTCCTCTTTCATGAATCTGGATTTAACGCTGAAAGGATTTCAGAGCTGCAATTTGGATATCTTCAAAGTAGGTACCACAGAGCCTAGGAGGAAAAGGAAAAAAACAAGTCTAACTTGATTACAAACATAGGAAGTTTACTTGGTCAAAATTTAGATGAAATGTAGAAGGTGAGGCAAGTGTTCATAATAAGTGCTGCCTGGTACTATCACTGGGACTTAAAAAGCAAGCAAGGATTTTTTTTCTAAATTCTTCCCTGATGAACTGATCTTAACATCTTAAAAGTTTGCATATTTCTGTTCTCCTTGAAACAGTTGGATACAGACAGATATTGCAGCAATATTGATCTTAGAACTTTCCTTATGGCCACGATGTAACCCTAGAGAGAGAGGGTAAAATATAAATGCATTTATAACCGCTGTCAAAAATACCGGAAGCCGCTTCTTTATAATCTTTTCTTTTCTTCTTTTCTATTTCTTTTTCTGTTTTCTTTCTTATGTATTCCCTATTCTTTATTTTGTCTCTTTTCTAATATTTGTATTGTTTTTATCTTGTTAAAAATTTCTTCAATAAAATTATATTAAAAAAAGAACTTTTCTTATGGCCAACACCATTTACTTGGGTTTGCTTTTTTTCCTATACTTTTAAAGAACCCTTGTAAACACACTGCAGTAAAAATAGTTTTTATTACAGTAACTGAGTCTTTATGAATTATAACTAAATCTTACATTGGGTAGTCTTTGAGCTGAACTATCCACTTACAGGTGCATTAACAGAATCCTTATTTAATCCAAAAAACCTCGTACTGTACTGTTTGCAGTGAGTAACAACTTCCACCAAAGGAGACAACTCGCCTAAACCAAGGATGGATTGATTGATTGATTGATTGATTGATTGATTGATGAAATGTATACATTGCCAATTGGATTCTAGGTGATATATATAGGACATATATAATAAAACTTAATGATAAAATATAACAACAACAGTATATAACTGCAATAAAAACTAAAATTTACATTAATGGTTCCAGAATCAATCCTGGAAAGGCCCTTTGGAAAAGCCTGGTCTTTACAGCTTTCTGGAAGGCCATAATACTGGAGGCTACCCTCCCATCAGAGGATAAGTTGTTCCATAAGAGAAAAGCCCAGGGAATATCCACCTTCAAGCCCCATCCTCTCATACCTCCTGGTAGATGGGAATATTGTCCAGACGTTCTCTGTCTGTTTGGATTGGGTGGGCAGATTTGATCAGGGAAAGGTGGTTTCTTAGATGCCATTTAATGCTATAAAGGTAGTGACCAGCATTTTGAATTACACTTGGGAAACATACTGGTAGCCAATGCAGTTCCCACAGCAATGGTGTAATACGGCAATATTGAGACTGATCAATGAACATAGAGGCTGCTGCATTTTGGACCAGCTAAATTTGCAAGTCGTCTTCAAGTGCTGACACATGTAGAGTGAGTTACAGTAATCTAAGTAAGAGGGCATGAATGACTGTCCTCCATGCATCCTGTTC